CCCTTCGGCGTCTTGTTCAAGGGGGAGAGAGAGAGGGGGACTAGAGAGGAGAGGGAGGGGGAGAGGGAGAGACGAGGGAGAGGGCACAGTCGCACTGAATGAAGGTAGAGAGAAGCCTCCATCCTCTCTACCCTACAATCCGTCTCACCCATGGTGGAGTCACTCGAGCGAGGGTCAGGGCGAGAGACGGGAGAGACCTTTCTACTTCCCTCCTCACCTTTCCGCCTATTCTCGCCTTCCCACTTGGACACGATTCCCCTCCCCACCCCCCTTCAAACTGCCACACTTTGCAGGAGACACCGGACCCCCTTTCCCAGAGAGGAGAGGTGCTCGAAAGGAGCCAAGGTGAAGGGATCCATCGAGAGAAGGGTGATGACAGAGAGAGGGAGAGAGAGAGACGCGAGAGACGCGAGAGACGCGAGCTGGCCGTGTGCGTCCGATTGGGGAGCGAGCGGCAAGCACAAACGGACGTGAGGGGGGCGCGCGCGGCGTTGGGCCGCAGAGAGTCTGAGTGGTTGTTCATTCAGTCTGTCGACTCACACTACATCCTCTCTCTCTCTCTCTCTCTCTCTCTCTCTCTCTGTGTGTGCCTGTCTTTCTGAGCCCTCCCTTTCCTACCAACACTCCCCTCCTGAGCCATCTCGATAGGCTGTGGAAAGGGGGAAATAAATAAACCATGAAGAAGAAGGTAAGCGAATGGCAGGCAAGCTCGGATAGACAGCAGGAAGTGAAGGGAGGGAGGGAGGGAGGGAGTTGGTCGGTCGAGTGATCGAGGAGGTGCTTCCCACTCCAACCCTCTTCTCCTTCTGCTCCTCCTTCTTCTTGACCGGGACCATGTTCGGTGGTTCGACAAGCATGTGATCGAGGGAACCCCACTCGAGATCCCACCCAGACTGGAGCAGATCCAAGGGGTGGGTTGCGGAGGGCGACCTGGGGGTGTCCGTCGTCACGGTCACGAACCTGATTCATCTCGCAAGGAGAGGGGCAGCGATCGGAATAAGGATCCCAGTCACAGTCAGCGTGGTGGCATCGAATCCAGAGGGAGTCGTGTCGAACGTGCCCCCCTCCCACCCAGCCCCTCGAACAGGCCCGGTGAGGGAGCCAAGGGGGGGCTAGCGGTACATACGAGGGGAGAGAGGGGGATAGGGAGAGTTGGACGCAAATGTCGGGTGAATCCAAAGGGAACGGATTGGATTTCATCCCATCATCTCCCTTCTTCCTCTCTACTCCTCCCTCATCGGTTTTCGCTCGCGACGTGACGCAACCCTGACTGGATCCCCGACACGGGCGGGCGGTGGGTTGATCAGACGATGGATGGGAGGAGGACCCGTCGTTCGCTCTCCCTTCCCCCTCTCCGTCTCTCCCCCTCCCTCTTCCTCTGCTGGATGCGGAGCTAGGGAAGGAGCGTAAGAGTCAAGTGTGTGAATCCCATGGATGTGACTCACGATGGATCCAACCCCTCCCCTTCCCTTCGACCCAGCGAGGAAGCCGATCACCAAGACATGACTACGATTCTCACTCAGACAGGATACGTGCATTCATCCACTTTCACGGTTCGAGCGATCCAACTCCTCACCCAGCCACAGCAGCGGCCATGAGTGATCATACGTGGAGCGACCTTGCGAAGCGACGCTTGTATCCCCCGCCTCTCTCCCC